GCTAGTCATCACCACCCACCGCCAACAAATAGTGGGATTGACCGTCACATTATAACGCCCCCACTGCTGAAAGGGCGAGCATGTTTGGGGGGACTGGGATTCGAATCCGCGACCCTCTGATTGCGAGTCGAGCGCCCTAACCACTTGGCCATGCCGGGCCTAATATAGTAGACAATTAACAAACAATAATGCTACTGTACTGATATTTAAACACGTTTCTTCAAAGTTTTAATGTGCGCTAAAATAATAAGCAGTTAACAGTCTAGAGAAATGTACAAATTAAATCCGCTGAACGCCCCCAGTGGCTCAACGGTAAGTCTGTAGGCTTACGACACTAAAAATTAGGTTTCGATACTCGTGTTAGGTAGAGTTCAGCGAGCCCATTATGTAGCTTTATGCTTAACAACAGCCAAATTCACTCAGATTTTATTTTAGTTCTTGGCGAAACAGCCAATAAGCTTTTAAAAAATGTTGATAAAAAATAATAATAGCTTCAATGAGTAGTTATTATCATTATCTTTTTGCTTCTCATCCATACACTTTATTTCACTACGCTCTATTCATTCGTCACGCCCCCAGTGGCACAGCGGTACGTCTGCGGACTTACAACGCTAGAATCCGGGTTTCGATACCCGTGGTGGGCAGAGCACAAATAGCCCATTGTGGTTAATTACAAAACAAACAAACAATGATTCGTCACCAAAATATGTCTTAAAAAGGTTCAGAGTAATATGTTTGAAAATGTTATGGATTCTTGAATAAATCAAGGTATGAAATAGTCTATTTTAAAGATAAATTGGATAAAGTGAACAATTAAAGAGCTCTTAGATATATATATATTTTGACTATTTTTGCTTTTTGTATTGTGTCTATTACCAAAAAATCTAATTGAAATTATTTCTAGAACTATGCCAGTGTTAATATATTTGGAAATATTGTGGAACAGTTCAATAAATTTAAAGTAAATTAAATAACAATTAAATTATTTTAGGTTTATGTCGCGGTTTTTCAGTTTGGAAAGCTGATTACCCTAGGTCGACAGTGATTTTTTATTAAGTCTTTTTCAAAGCAGTCAGCTGACTTTGCCAGCCAAAATGAAAAGAGACGACAGCTCTTTTGCAAATTCTGACCATTACACTGTTTTTAATGACTGTTAGACAATTTGTATTCGTTTACGATCCCCCCCTTCTTTGATGTGCCTGTTTGTTTATAAAAAAATCATAATTTGTTAAATACTAAAGTGTCTACTTATGATCAAAAAAGTGTGTATTAACTTATATAAGTGTTTTAAAGCAATATATATATATATCGATTTCATAACGACATATCTTTGAAACACCATCTGGTATCAAAAATCGAGTTTGTATGCGAGTTTGTTTAAGAATTGGGCAAGGTTATACATTCTACACCAGTATATTGTAAGTAGGGATGATTAATTAATTAGTAATTATCAGATCCTCGAAAATAATTGCTTTTTATTATCGTTTAATTAGAATTTGAAGAGGAAGTAAAAAATAAATAAAAACAACACGAATGAAAATAATTAGACAATTTATCATCCATGCCAATATATAACGGTTCTGTCTCAAATTATTATAATAAAAAAAAGTTATTGGGGTAATCATAATTATATATGTTTTTAAACTTCGAACATGTTTATTGTATACAATGCTTTAAAAGTGAAAATCGTTTACATTTGAATAGAATTAGTCGAATTAAATGTACATAGATTATTTTTGAAATTTAATAAGATACTAATTGTGCAAAGTAAAAAAAGTACAATCAAGTAAAATATTAGGTTATTAATTATTTATATCAATTAGTCTTCGAAGAAATAATAGTTTTTTCATACATCATTTAAAAGAATTGTTTACATTATTATCAAAATTTTTATTCACAAATGCTTTTATACTTTCTTTCCTTATTTAATGGCTTATTATAATTTCAATTTATTTAACGAACTAAATACTAGGTATTAAAAAATGGTAATTGAAAGCACGGAAATATGAATTTATTAAAATGAAATTTAAAGCAGAAAAAGAAAAATATACGTATTGTCAGTCAACTGATTGGTCTGAAGGCTTATAATACTAAAAACCAGGTTTCGCTATCCATGGGGTGTTCAGCACAGATGATCCATTGTACAGCTTGACGCTTAACAACAGAACAAACGAAAAGCGGTGCATTTACAGTCTTACAATGCTAAAATCCCAGTTTCGTCACATAGCGGTGAACAGAATATAAGTAGCCAACTGTGTAATTTTTCACTTACAAAAAATAATTATAATAATAACAACATCGCGTTTTCAGTAAATTACGCATATTATATTATAATTTTGACATAGATAAAATACAATTCGATTTCATTATGCTTTTCATACAGTATAGAAGAGGTTCAAAATATCACGAAAAAATATGTGTGTGTGTGTTTCAAAGAATTGCTTTGAATAAAACATTTCGTCATCTTCTACATTTTGGATCTGTAGTTTATGATTCAGTGTCAACAGTAGTACAACATGTATTATAAAGCCTAGGTGAAAATAAACAGAAAGCAAAACCTACCAAGATGATTCTAGAAACATGTCATTACAGTTCGGTAAATAACGAAAGTTTATTATTAAAGCAGTATAGCTTAATCTTAATATCATATGATGTCCCCCGGAGTGTCGGCGATAAATATGAGGGCTTATAATGCTAAATACAGGTAGATAAAGCACACATAACCCATTGTGTAACTTTTGCTAAAATACAAACAAACAAACATAATTTGTCCTCTCAAAACATTCAGGGCATATACTACTTCAAACCCACGATTACAAATTCGATGTTCGAATATATTAAACGATTTTGAATAAGCCATTCAACAAGTCACGTGACAGCCACAACCTGCTGAATTAGCGGTGGAACAACACATAATACAGTTACATTTTGACATTGTTTGGGGTTTCATAGGTAGCGTGATGCTGCCGAATATTCAACTCTTTTGGGAACGGTATGTAATCACTCTTTTCGACGCAAAATATTCATACACACATATTATAAGCATTTCTTCAGATCAGGGAATTCTAAACAAGGATATCCCTTGTAACTTAGGGTATTGGAAAATAAAGGAATATGGATCAATCTGGGGATCCGGAGTATCCAGAAAGAGATTTGCACAACAAGTCCTACCACAGTCGTAGTAAAAAATGTGGTGGTTTGTAACATGTGAAAAGCCATGAACACAGAGATCAGCGGTAAAAGCCGACCACGTGCCCAAGGCAACAGTACGTAACCTAATCAAGAAGGATCTTCGTCTATAAAGGTAAATCAAGCCACATATGCACAAGCTGCTTCCTTGATATTTTGGTTCAACCATGATATACCTCAAGAAACTGGAGAATGAAATGAGTATTCATGCTATTCCATGCAAAGACATATTGGTAAAATCACTGAATGCAGCGCCTATGGTTTTTTTGTGCGATTGTGCTGTTATAGCCGCTACTTGGAAACTGTTGTCCTCATACACAAGATGTATTGTGGAAAGTAAGCAGGAAAGAACGGTTTACTTTGGACATAACATCTATACGATAGAAACTTTTACAATGGAAACTACACTGCAGGGTTATTTTCAAGGTGCATTGTCATCAGATAAAGTACGATTGATCGTAACGACATGAAGTGTAATGACATGGTGAGGCTCCTAAATCGTTTTCAAACTCTGTATTGGATTAATTTTTCGCTCCCTCTTGTGTCGAAACAAACCTTATAAACTTTCTCAGCAGTTTATAGTCAAGGTATGTTTATAAAATAAACATTTAAGATTTAATTTCGAATAATATTTTATTTATACGTTTGTTGAGTTGCGCACACTACTTTTATAGCTTCTCCAAATATATCTGCACAATTATATTCACTATGAAAGAAGAAATGCTTTATTTTATTAATAATAAAAATCAAATACTAAATGTTTATTTTTTATTAGCCTGCCAATTATGTAAGGCCTAGAGAGGTCGCCAGGAGCATATCGTTGTTGTAGTAATGGACAGATAAACGTGACACAATATCGCAAAATAAAACTTATGACACTAATTTTAGAATCAGGTAAATGAAATATATAGATCTATCATTGCACTTACTGCCTGAATTTTGGGTTAGAGCGTTCACTTACCTCAGGTTTTAATTACTTCAGTCACAAAACCTTGCTTTCTCTTCTAATGCCCGTTTCACTTTACTAATAGTAATGCTAGTTTTGGTGTCAAATAATGAATAATTTAGTATTTATAATGTATTTAAAATGTCAACTGGTATTATTAGTATTACTATTAGTGACTATTACTAATATGCAAGGGCGCCCGCAGAAAAAAAATAGAGGGGTCAAGCAACTCAAGTTTGAAAAAAGTAGGAAATCGAAAACAAATACCTTATGATATTCCAATAACATGAAGAATAATTTTACATATCTAGTATTTTTTTCTTTTTGAAAATCCAGGGGTATCAAGTGACCCTCCCTTGTCCATTCCAGCGGGCGCCCATGCTAATATGTTTGATCAAGATATTTGAATATCAAGCCATAAAATATAAAATTATTTGTATATGGATCTTTGTTTAATGTTGTGGTTTGTAAATCTGTAGTAATACTTTAGTATACTATAAATAATAAAGGAACATGCCTATCTTGAATATTTAAAAGTTTGTTTTAAACGTTTTCCACGTTTAATCAATATCTTCAATTAATTCAGTTCCCCGATTTACAATTTTGTACAGATCACTGGTTAGGCCTTATCTGCTCCTTACCTTAGGAAGGACATTGAATTATTGGAAAGGATTCAGAGGAGGGTTATCAGTTCTATGATTACTAGTGAAGTATTAGGTACTACCTAGGATGGAAAGGTTATCATACAAATTACAAGGACAGATTAAGATCTCTGAAATTGTTTTTGCTTTGAAAAAAAAAAGAGTTCGAGGGGATCTGATTGAGGTGTTTAAAATTGTTAAGGTAATTCAAAGTGTTGATGTATCTTTTTTTTTATAGTTAATTGTAAGAATAGAAGAATAGGGGACATAAATGTACATTTTTTCATCATAACATTTGTATTCAGTGAGGACAGTTACTAACACTATTAGTAACAGTGTGGTTGGCTTTCAGAATGGATTGTCTTCAGATGTGGTGGATGCAGCAAATTAAGAAAGTTTTGAAAAATATTTAAATGATAAAAGCTGGCTGTGAGTGTTTTTTTGTAACCTTAGTTTGGGATGGAACAACAGAGATGGATCAACAGGCCCCTTGTCTTCAAATTTTGTTATGTTATACTAACTGGAGCTTGGCCTGTTTTTTCCTAATCTTTTAACTTTTGTCATTTTATCCTACCACCTTCTGAATATAGCATAAAGAAATTGGGGAATCTTATCCTATATATTCCCTGGATAAACTTGTAAACTTTAGTAAAACTTTTTACATTACTTTTCTCAAGAGAAATAAGTTAATAGATCCTGAAATATTCTTGTAACTTGTAAGATAACCCTTTCACCCCTGGAAACTTCCAAGTAGTCTTCCTCTGAACCCTTTCCAGTAAAATACTTTTGTGTCTATTACACTTAAGTATAAAATGTTTTGATTGTCATTACTTGCTGTACTGAGATATCACATTTGGTAATACTTTTTTTTTTCACTGTTGCAGTTTTAAAGTTTCACACCATATTTAATTTGAAATTGCACATAATTTATTATAAGTGTAACATGATTAAACTGTTAATGAGTATGCTATACATAAATTTTCAAATAAAGTATAAAATTCCGTTGAATGGGAAATTTCAAACATTTGTCTATTTGTACTTTTGACATTTCCAAGTACAGAAGTAAAAGTTCACCTTTCAGTTCTAGATCCTCTATAAACATTTTTAAAGTAATATTAGATCCTAATCTAAATTTGTATCTACAGTGCAGTCACATAGTTATTGAGTAAACATAAAAAAAAAAATGTATAAATCTGAAATTACCTGGAGATCAATAGATTTCTAATGTGAAAGACACCAAATGTCATTTCTGCACTTGTAGAAAGTGTTACTGAAAGCAGGTCTAAGATCCAAAATTTCAAGTTAAGTAGTATTAAGCTACTGCTAGAGTAATACTGTTATTGTGGTACCAGCAATTAAACTGATAACATGCATTGTAATGTCCTCCACAAAAGCACTTGACAAGTAATTTCCACTCCTGGTCTTTTTATGCTCTCCACATGTAGATGTTTCAACAGAATATTGGTTTCTCTTGATTAGGTACTATTTGTTCTACCAAAATTCTGCTGAAACACGAGTCCATATTACTAGAAAATCTACAATTAAACATTTTATTTTGCAATTTTAAATGTTTTTATCTTACAATATGTAAAATAGTTGTTTTAAGCTACATAATATTGACAATACATTGAATTACCTTATCATATGTTTGAAACAATTAGAAATAAAATATTTTCTCTCATTCAGGTATGACTACACCACCATCACAGAACCATCAGAATGTTCACCATCACCTACCGTATCAAAGTATTCAACAGAAAGTGCCTAATCATCCATATCCCCCTTTGCCCTCACAGTATCCTCCAATCTATGATCTACAAAGACCACCCCCAAGATTACCTCATGTAGTAAATCATCCTCAGTCAGCTATTTCGGTAACTCCAGTTCAACATGCTGTTTCAAATAATGGGTCAAATAATCCATATTCAAGCACCCAATATTCAGGTAATCATTTTACCAACCCACAGATCCCAGGGGCTTCATTTATGTCATTTCCTCCACCTCCCCTTTGTGAAAGCATGCGAAAACAGCAACAAGCAGCATCTGATTTTTCACATGCATCATACTCGGGAAATGCTAATTCCTCTGTGAAAACATTATTGCCAACAGCACAACCTCCAGTTTCAACCCAAATAGCATCAACTTTTTTGCCCCCACAAGTCAATACTGCCAATCATTCACTTTGTTATCCGCAACAGTCATATTTGGCTACTACAGTTCATGGGCCAACTTCATCTGGTTCGTTACATATCCCCACTCAGCTTTCACTTCAACAACCACAAAGCTTGTTTGCTCCTGTCACAACCTGGTCCAGTTCATGTATGCAAGGCCCAATCACACAGTCTTCTGCAAAGACACTAAGAGAGAGTGATAATGAGTGGCTTGAAGGATGGTTGTCTTCAAAGAAAAAACCAAATCAACAAGTACAAAGAAGTGAGCAGAAGTCAGATATTACTGTAAGTGGAAAGTTTTTCATATGGGTTTGACATCTAATGCAAAAAAAAAAGGCTTTTTGAAGTCAAGTTATTATTTTTTTAAATAACCTAGTTATTAATACATGTGCATACATCTGATTTACATAAAATTTTTCTTCATAATTTGTTATAATGGGAGTAATACTTTGGATATGCATCTACTTGGAACTTGATGATAAACATTTCTGGGAACATTTTAAAAGTACTTGTACACATACATAATTTACATTGATTATTAAACGAGTACTTTTGTCTAATTCATTAAAATATACTCGTGTGAATCTGATTAAAACTATGATATACTTGTATCAGGGTTTTGTGGCTTTTCATATTTTTTTGCTATCACTTTTATCAAAATAATTTTATGCTTTAGTACATTTGGGAATCATTGTGTACATATAGCTCTAACTAAAAAACTCAACAAAGTTTAATATATATTATTTACATCTATTGCCACAAAAGTCAGACAGTTTTTAAACTTCTGAAAAGGGTTTGCAATAGTACATCGATTTTATGTTCATAATCCATGTTTAAAATGGTAATTACGAACAAAACTAATTATTGTAAAAAATCTTAAGTTCAGTTTATACACCCTGAAATTTGAGCTTCAATGCTGACAAAATATTTTCAAGTTCCACACTTTCCTACCCTATTCAGATCAGTGAACACCTTCAAGGTGTCAAAAGAACACCTGCATATCAAATTTTGAAAAACAATTCTGACTTTATTTCAACATTCTTTAGGTCAGAAATATTTTAGAATTGATATTTTGTCTTTTTTTTAACATTTGTTAGGTATAATTCACAAAAATAAATAAAAAAAATGTTCAAATGTTCCATGCAGCTCTGGAGTATCTCACTTGTAAACAAAGCATTTAGAAAATTTTTTTAGAATTTTTCTGCCCATCCTAAAAAATAGATTAAATTTGCTAAGAATCTATAACCCCTTAAGAATTAGTATTAATTCATTTCTTTATTTTGTAACATTTGCTTTGTCTTTTTGCTAATTTGTTTTTGTACACGCCATGTTACGACCCTTTTATGATATCACATCAAATTATTTCATCATTTACTGATGAAACACAGCTCTGAAAATGGCTGTAAAAGTTTAAATATGATTGTTGATAGAAATAATTAGACTTCTCACTTCACAGTAGAGTAAACAAAGTGGATTGAACAGTAGTTTATGGTTTTGTGGGAAAGTTGTTAGTTGGAGTTCCTGTAGCAGTGACAAAAAGCATTCAGTGGAAAGTTTTGAAGACTTGGGAACAAACCACAGAGCTAGGAATTGTTTTATAAGTTCTTCATACGTTCTTTTCTATTGTGAAAATACTTGTGTTTGAAAGCTACAGAATTTGTTTTTAGATAAGAAGACATCAGATAAGCTTAGATTTAGTGAGTAAAGTAGACAATGGCAAAATATTCTGATAACTCAGTGCTTATTTATTGAACATTATTTCTATGTTTATCCTATGGCTACTTAGTTATCTTTAATTTCAGTTGTCATGCTTTAAACAAAAATGCTTTATTATTGTCAGTGATAATAAAAAATGTTTTCGTTATTTGATTATCAGTTTATTTAATTTACAAAAAAGATCAGTAGTGGATTACTGCATGTTTAAGAGAAAATAGTGGCCACATGGTCATGTTGACATTAACAACTCACAAAATAGGATACGTTCATATTATCTTTTAAAAAACTGGTGTGCCAAAAGTTTCTTCCAAAATAATACTTTTTTTGTTTCATTTTTTTAAAGTATGAACAGAAACATTGTTTTAATATAGAGGATCAAATGTCTTGACATGAATTTAAAATAGTATGGAAATTTAACTTATTAATCATTTCATTTTATTTTTTTGTGTGATTTTATTTAATTTATATTGAGATAGTTTACCATTATGAAAATAATACTAGTTGGCAGTATAAAACACTTTCAGTATACTGAAAACATTTATGAAAAAATGAAAATCAGAAACTATTGATAACCCTAAAAATTACCACTGAAGAAGGAAAACCAATAATTTGATACTTGCTTTAAAAATTTTAAATACATTTACTCTTGGTGACAGTCCATTAGTCCAAGGACCTGGTAGTCCGAAGATGTATGTTGTTGTTTTTGTAATGGTGAAATTATTAAACTGATTGTTTGGTTAAATTTGTGGAATTTTATGACAAAAACACCCCATGATATGACCTAAAAAGTTACAATTTCTCATGAATGAATGGATATTGTTTATCATCATTACCCCGATGTTATTTTTCTGTATGTAAGTATAGTATTAGCTGAAGAGCCCGCATATTTATGCATCGGGATTGGATTTGGGAATCTGGCTCTTCTGAGAGAATAGACATTCAAGATTCTTTTCCCATTATGTTGTGACAGTGAATGTTATATCCCCGACTCATTAAACATGTTCAAAGCTTCCAGTCAACAAAATTATCTTGACACCGAGCCATTGCTGTGATCTGTACACTATAATGTTGATTGAAATATTTCTGTTGTTTGTATTTAAAATGAGAGCAACCTATCAGGGGTGGCTGGTTCTCCAAACCTCCACCAAGATATATTCTTTAAACTTTTCATTTGAGATTGCAATAATCTAGTATGGACCAACATATTTGATTATTCATTCAATTTTGACTTGTATGGCAAAAACCAAAAATCTGTGACAAATGAACCTACATAATACTGGGCAGTCACTTTACTCTTATGTGTTTTACAACCTGAATAGAATGGTGTTCTATGAAGTATAAACCTTTCATTGTCAGGTCCAGCCTATCAAGCAAACTCAACTGACACCAAACATTTGGAAGTTATTAAGGATCCAACTGCTTGTGAGAAAAGTAAACTACAATTCCTAAGCTTTCTATATAATTGGCATTTTCTCAATTAGTTTGCCAAAAATTTTTTAGATTTGCAGCATTTTTATTCATTATTAGATGCTGTGTACCTTTTATTGAGTTTGTACATGTAAACTTGAAAAGTTATGTTAGGCCTAATTTGTCAAATTTATTTTTTTTTACTTTGATAGTTTTGTTATTTGTTTTCAATTTCAAATACAAAGACAATTTTAATTGAATTTCATTTTTTTATTGATAACTATTAGCTAGCTTGATAAAATGATCAATTCTGTTTCATAGCTTCATATTCCAGTCTGAGATATTCTTGTAACTGAACTCTATATTCTGTTTGACGAGTTCCTACATGTCAGCCTTCTGTTTTCAGGGCATTAATACTCCTGAATATTTATTTGTCATCAAGGTGTTAACACACTCTAGATTTCTTATACTTTGAGAAAATTAACACAGTAATAATTTCTTTATCCTTGGAGCATTATTAAAACTCCCAATTTGTGTATCAACAAAAGGAATAGTAGATTTCTCAAATCCAAGTTCTTTAAATATCAATACACTTTGAATTTTTGATATCCTTAGGTCACTGGCCATTCCACCATTGAGGTCCTTTTACTACCAACCAAAGCAAGAAATCAAAAGATTGCCATTATGTTTTCTCATTATTTTTGTTAATTAATTCAAGGTTGTGTAACTTTATTGGTTAGTATCGCAACTCATGGAAATAATCAACTAATTAAAATTAGTGTTTCTGATTATTACTATTTTTTTCTATTATATCCAAGTCTCGTGAGAATAATCGATTAGTCGAATGTAATTAATAGGCCCATTGATTAATCGATTAGCAAATTCCACTAATCACCCAGCTTTAGTTCTTGCTAGCAACTAATTCAAGTTTCATACCATCAAGGTATTAATGTTCTTAAAGCACCAGGAAATGGACATTATCACCAAACCCACTACTTTCAGCAAAGTAACACAGACTTTGTTATGAATACAAATATTACAAATTCTAGCTCATTTTCTGAAGTCTGTTCAAAATGTTCTGCATTAGGTAATGCACTATTAGACATACACTGTAGTATCGTCAACAGCTTTTTCAAATTGGTATCCCTAGGACTGATATAAATAATGAGATATAAATGCCCAGAAACAGATCTGAAGTAGTGTTATTCATCATCTGATTATTTTTACGGTTTTCTGGCTAGAGAACCACATATATTTTTCCACTTTATTTTTTTGAATATGACTAGCTCGGTATTGGAGAGTTCATAATCAACCAATAATGAAGGAATGTTATCTCCTATACAAGCATGTTTTTATTTTTAGATAGCCTATGCTCGTTCTCATCTTCAAGAGGCCCTCGTTGTTTTAAAAGAACTTAATGAAGTTCGAGACCTTATTTCTTCTTCCCTGATGACAGCCGATGATGATATGTGGAACTTCAGGTTACGTAGGGCCACAAGACTACAGGTGAGATAAGTATGGAAAGTGGCAATGAGATATTTACTTAGTTTATTTGTGTTAAAGAGCAGCATAAACATCTACTGTAGGCTATTTATAAATAACTTGATACAATTGGGAGTTAAAGATTTTAAACAGATTTGTATTTCAGAATCGTCTAGCAGAGATAAAAGAAATATTTCTTCAACCAGCCGTGTTAAAGAACCTTAAACAAAGAATGGAGAAGATAAGAAAGAAAAGGGTATGTTTAGAAATATTCTTTGAGTACTAAAAGACTTAAAGTTACTTTATCTTTAACTATTTTTTTTATGTAGAGAACTTTTGCTAATAAAGATTATTACTGATATACAGATGGTTAAATTGTAATTTTCAAAGCATTTACTGATTAAATCTCTACTACTAGTTAGCTTATATACTGTATTGTATTTTTACACCTAAATCATTTTGATAGCTTGAGACCAGCTTTACATCATTAAGCACATTTTGTTATGGTATTTATGATAGTAAAAATAAAAAAACAAGGTATTTCCATGTGTTTTCAATAAATGGTTATTGCTAACTGAAAGCTTAATTTTTCTAATCTTCTGTCTGTGTACAAACTTATACCTTGCATATTTACAGAATATAACAATTAGAGAATATATATTTCATGTGTGTTTTTAATTATTGTAGTAGTTTCTGTGTATCCTCTGTAAATCACATAAGTACTTTATTATTACTAGTATTTTATCTTAATTTATACAATTTCATGCATTTAATTCTATTTTTACTATTTGTCATTTCTAGAAAAGAATAAAAAAGCAGAAGGAATACAGAACACTACAGATGAAGGAAATACAGAGTGAGAGAGAGGAAAAAGAAAGACAGATTGGCATTTGGAAAGAACAGATTATAGAAAAAATTCAACGGGATAAAAGGGTATGTGGTTAGAAATCAAAGTTCTGAGGTATTTTGAATAACTTATTAATGATTATTTATAAATGGAGGCACGAGTAAATTGTTGTTTGAGATTACAAAATATAAAAACTTTGACATAAATCAGCAATTTTAAGTATTTATTTGTTATGTATTAACAAGAAAACATTCCTGTACTTGTGTAACGTTAATCTCCCTTTATAAGAACGGTTTGCAGGTCTTAATGTAAAGGTGTGCTTAGTGCAGGTGCAATCTGTAACACCATTAGTAACATATTTAGCACCTATATATATTATTCATGGGAAATTTCCCACTACTTGGCATTTGTCTAATCATTAGAAAAATATGTGTACAAAAATGTGTATATTTTTATTATCAGGAAATGGAACTAAAAGCAGAAGCTGATACAATTTTAAGTGAAGTACGACGTAAAATTCAAGAGGCCAAACGAGCATTAGAAAGATTGAAAGCTCTTGAGAAACTTCGTGATGTAAAAAAGAAAAACTTAGTCATGAAAGGTAACAAATGTTACATAAAATGAAGAAATTCTACACTTGGAAATTTAAACTTTTATAAAACATAAAATGGAAAGACAAGATAAAATATATTTTGTATGTTGTTACATCAAAATAAGAATAATAATTATTTTTATTAAATTTTTTATTTACTAGGCATAAACAGATTTTCTTTTGCTGTTTTTTTTTGTCTGTCTTTTCTTTTTAGGTGTTACGGTATCCATTGAATATGATGATACTTTTATGGAAAGAGTTTCGAGGCTTAGAGAATTAATGAAACAGCAGTTGTCAGACTATGAAGCTGAAGAGAGAGCCATTAAAGTTATGCTAGAAACTGAACACGAAGGACAAAGAGAAGAAGAGGAAGAACGTAGAAGAATAAGAATTGAGAGACTTGTTAAAGACAAACAATGGGAGATCAAAGAAGGGCTGTTTGGAAACTCTTGTAAGTTTTAAGTACATAATGTTTTTAGAAACATTTGTTTCCTCGGAATATTTTACACTCAAAAGTATCCAGTTTGTCTTAGTTACGTTCATCTACAAAAAAATCTTTACTCTTTTTTTTTAATAAGTAGCTAGAGTTTGATATATTCTGGATTTCTTCGTGTTCTAGATGAGTTGAAAGAGGTTTTTTCATCAGATTGGTTCTTACAACTAAGTAATATGTTACATAATTCCATCTACATTATATCTAGGAAATTAATAGAAAATTATCAATTATCGGGCATCATTTGCCTAATTCAGCACTTAGCCAGACATAAAATAGCATTGCATGCATGGCAGTATTAAGCAACTATGGTTTATCAAAAAATAGATTCTTTAAGGCAGTCAATAAACATTTCTTTTTATCCTCATTTGTTTACCATTACTGAGGAATCCTTTATTTATGAAGTATTGTAAAAAAGAAAGGTATATTTCATTTCTTAAGTGTTCAAATAATTTAAAACTACCATGCTTTATTCTAGTGTGTAGCATGTAGTTTGCTTCACCCCCCCCCTCCCATTTCTCAAACATAAAATCATAAACCTAACTCTGATGTGTAATGACTTAAATAAAATTTACAATTTACTAAATTAATCTAATTCACACCAAAACAGCTGCTCTTCCTTCAGTTGATGATATAAGAAAAGTGCATTTAAATCATTACTATATTTGTCATATCCCAACCAGTCCAATGAGCCTTACTATTGTCCGAAAAGTCTCTTCAGTACTGGATAGAGCAGATATGGTGTGGTTGACATGTTATTGCATTCTTATATAATGTTTACTCTTTTTTTTTTAATAAAGAAATATTATCTTTTGATGTAATAGAAAGCTGAAAAGTTCCCAAATTACATTTATTTACACATAAAATGTGACTTTAATTTCTTAAACCAAAAACCTTTGGCTTATTGTTGGTTTGCATTATTCAAGCATCGCCTCATTTCTCCATATGATGTTTTATAATTATGAGGTAAGATTTTAAGTATTATTGTATAAAAAAGAACTGGAGATATACATAAATGGTTAGAATGACTTTACAATTGTTACTGAAATATGCTGCAAATAAAACTTATTTTCAATTGAAGAACTTTCTTTTTTTTTGTAAGGTTTGCCCAGTGTTGAAGATCCTCTCTACATTTATTGGCAGTTTTATGTACAAGCTGAACAGGGTCAGGATCAGTTATTACATATTAGGTGAGACTTTCTGTCTTTATAATCAATTTATCAATTCATTTTTCATTATTTTTTAGCAGATACCATAATCAATAAAAAATGTTGTTTAGGATAAATTACTTAAAAGAATTAATGTACTTTTAATCTGCGCTTAAGCTGATTATTAATGGTTGGAAACGGCTTGAATGGGTAACGAAGAAAAACTTTAATATAAGTTTAACATAACAGCAAATGTACAACGTTTCAACAAGTATTTGTCATCATCGGATGATGACAAAACCTTGTCGAAACGTTGTACATTTGCTGTTATGTTAAACTTATATTAAAGTTTTTCTTCATTAACTGGACTGTTACTATTAATCCTCATGACAAACTGTGTAGTCACATAAGAGTTTATAAAAAATGTATCTAGATGGGTAATGACAAGATTGAATAACTCTTATTAAACATATTCCATTAGATTTTGACTAGTAATTTGTTCATCTCCAAAATGTTAATTTTTATTTTTATTGCTCATTTGGCCATTTTAATTTTTATAAACTTATAGACATAGCTTATACTAAGGTTTTATTTTATTTTTTTTATTTACAGGCGAGAATGGGATATGTTTTTAGTTCCCTCTGATCACCCTGAAGGCTCTAGTATACCACTTCAGTGGATTACCCCAGAAGCCCCCTCTAGCCAAGTTTGGGCATCTGCTTTACAGCCCGATAGCATTTGATGCTCTTTTTTTTTTTCTTTCTATAAACATGTGACTGTCTTGTAAATCTATCATACATATGTAAAAATAGAATTGAGGGGAAAATAAAATAAATGTAAATAATATGCTTATCTTAAGTCAGAGTCATTTGTTGTAGTTATATATCAATTTATAAGGTACCTTCAACACACTTAAGTATTTTACAAGTATTTTAATTATCAACACTCTTTGTACAGTGTTTTAAACAAAATCTTTATAATGTAAACATTCTGTTTGAAAGCTGGTCACTTGATGGAAAAGAACTTCAACTGCTTTTTATTACGTTTTGAAAAAAATCAAATGGATTGAAAGTTTATAAAAATGTTTGGCATTACTTAATTTGTAAGAATATTAATATTGTAATATAATATTAATAAAATGCCCTTTTTTTTTCTTTTAAGTAATTTTTTAGGTTTGCCTTATATTTTTTGCCTTAATAAAAATTTTCATATGGATGCAGTAATGCTACCAATAATGATAAACTCTAGAAATACTTTCTGATTTTCAGAAACATTCTAACTTCTTAACCAATTTCCTCAACTATCGCAGTCTGAAAAATCCAGAGATTTAGATTCTTATTGAGTTTATTAATTTGTTATTTCATGTTTGTTGTGAACACAATTTTTCCAGTCTCTTTTCAGCTCTTTTTTTTTTTCAAATATGTTCCAGCCACTTTTCATGTAACATCTTGGGCTTTAGTCAAACAGCATATTCAGTGCTCGGCTAGTAAAAGTGCTTTCTTAGGATGTTTTCTCATTTCCTCCCCCTCCCCCACCTAAATATATGGATTTACTGATCCCTGCTGCCCTGATAAGTGTCCATTTGTTGGTGGTCTACTAGCCTAATTATTTTAACATGGCATCACCTTTTTGTTTTTGTTTACTTTTCCAGACGTGGTTTGTCAAGCCACATCCCTTTTTATTTATTCATCTTAATTTCTTTTCTCCACTAAACCTAAACAACATAATACCATGAGCAGGATGAATGAAAATTGACAAAATTTTTAGTACACCAAGTTTTATACCCAAATACCTGTCATTGATGAAATGAAAAATTATATTATATGGTTACATTACATTACTAGATATAATTATAGAAACAATGAGGTAAAGGATATAAAAGGCAAATATTATGGGAATGCCACCCCTTTATTATATGAAAACGGCATGCAACAGAGGGCAGACATGTGTTGATAGTTCAACCAGTCAGGAAGTACCACATCATTATATAGCTTATAAAAGTATAGGCAGTCATACTATGCTGTAGTAGTTGTGAAAATCCAATCATGGGTCCCAGGGTTATAGTGACACATGATAAGCTTGTAGATATCAAAACTTTTCGCTGATCAAGGATCCTCTATGCAACAAACGTGTCTCAGGGCTACATGTTTCAGTTGGAGTTTATGTAAAACTAAAGAGGTCATGTTAACCTAGCAATAATGGAAGTGGTTGAGGTAGAAAACCAAAACTCTCCAAAAGTGATGTTAAGTATCCCATAGTATGTTCTTTATGATGTAAGCAAGGATTGAATACAGATCTTGCCAGTGACATTACTATAAATAAAGATGTGAGTGTAACCTTGAAAACAGTAAGATACCACTTAGCATCAATGGACTTGTAGCTGCTCATAAAACCACTGTTGAAAAGAGGAAGCCAAATGAAAAGATTGAAATTCGATCACAAATAGTGGGATGAAAAACAGGCAAATTCAAGTTTGAATTGATCAGAAATAATTAACAAAAGTTTGTTCATTATTAGAGAGGAGAATGGTATCATGGTCAATGTACAACATCTACTGTGAAGAATGGTGTGGGATCAGTAATTTGGGACTGCATCTCCGTCAGCAGTGATTACAAAATTTCCTGGCGCCTTGACTTCTAATAGATACTGGATCGACATGCCATTCCCTCATTGTGTAGGAATTCATCTTGCAGCAAGACACTATCTCAAGCATACAGTAAATTTGGTGAAATGATATCTTGACGGCAAAGAACCTGATGGAACACTTACAACCATGAAAATCCTTGAGACAGTATTGGCTTATGTAAAAATTATAGGTTAATAAGCATCTAAACAACTTGGTTGAATTATGAGTAGTACATAACATTTGGAACAATTTTTGTAATTGTGTGTTGATAAACTATATGGCAGCATAAAAACATGGTATAATTTATATTATATTTATATAATTGATAGCCTAACACCAATCGACACTGTATATACAGTACATTTATATATATATAAATGTATAAAAATATAGTGCTGAAGCATGCAAAGACAACAGGTGGATACATGTTGGGAACGAAATGTGTGTTAATCTGGGCATATAATTAGACTTGACGTAAGGTTGGCAAAGGTTCTGATGGGTAGAATCGAAGAAAGAAAAACTAGAGGTAGGCACTTGGCTCGATGTCATAAGAAAATGAAATAAGAGAACCTTGGATTTGGAAAAATGGCGAGTAAGAACGAATAATGGGAAACCATTTTTGTTGGCCTTCAATGAGGACATTATCATTAATTGAGTGATTGATAAATATATTCCTTTTGTTGTTGTTTTAGTTTATATTTTGTGTTTGGAACACAAGTTTATGGTTGTTGACTGATTGCTGAGACATATAAGCTTCTCATCTAAGTGATGGTTATGTTTCAGCTATTAGTAGAAAGATAAATGGCTGTGTGTATAGCATCTCAAAAATTTTCACCATATGGATAATGATTAACACTCCCATTCTTGAAACGTAGAAGAATCAGGAGGCAGTTAAGAAAAATTCGCATAAAAAATCAACCTTTCTTGTTTTCATCATAATGAAACACTGAATCACATTTTTATATGAAATAAAAATAAAATATGTAATAGATAAATAAACGGACTTACAACGCTAGAAACCGGAGCACAGATAGCCCATTGTGTAGGTTTCTGCTTAATTAAAAACAAACAAAAAGAAGATAAAATTTAAAAAACAAGAGACTGCTTAAAGTTGTAATTTACGGATTTGAGTAAAAAAAACTAACATTTTCCCCCATTTTACTAAACCTGTGAAGTGACTTTTCTCATTTCGTAAAAAAAGTAAAGATTATTGCATGAAAATGTATTTACCACAAAGTTACAACTGAAGACGTTTCTTTCTAATTAAGCACAAAGCTACACGATGTGCTCTGCTCACCACGGGTATCGAAACCCGGATTCTAGCGTTGTAAGTCCGCAGGCATGCCGCTGTGCCACTGGGGAGGCTACAACTGAAGAAGTTGTATTTACAAAATCTGAGCAAATTAAAAACTTATTTTTATAGTTAGTGCATGTTCCCTAAATTAATTACACTGACACCACCGCGATGTCTGATAGGAATACTTCTAATTTACAATAAAGCATACTTTGCATTTCATCTTATTCTCAAATATGCATGCTACACGTGATGCAATGTTTTGCTGAGTAAACGTAGAGATTTTCTGTATTTTGTATAAGTTGTAATAAAGTTATCACTTTTTAATGTAAAGTTATCAGGACGTCGTGGCTTTACGGTTAGAACGACAGGAAAAAGACCTGAAAGTACACTTTTGCGCCGCTGAGGAGGGTGCTCCGTACTTTCATCCGTGAGTGTGTATTATAAAAATGAAAGTCAATCCCGTTATTGGAGTTAAAACGGTCTGGTGATTGGCTGGCTGCCTTTTTTCTGTTCAATGGTTCAAAATTAACCGTTACACTTGTATTATAGAGTCTCTTGGCTGTTCAGCCCATTTGTAACATAAGGTGTTGTTCAGGTTAAAACTGCTTAATTTTGATATAGCTGTTGTATGCCCAGTTAACGCTGATTTCTTTACACGTGACAGTATCATAGGACGCTGTAATTATTAGCAAATTTGTGAAGTATTAGGTCGACAAGAAATTAATGTCGCTTTTTTTTAGATGAAGAAACTCGAACAATTTATATATATATCCAAACAAAA